CTATTTGTCTGATGACAGACAAACAGAATTCGCCGTACTGTGGTTTGTTTCTGGTCCTCATCTTATACATATTATAAGCATTGAGCATGGAAATGTCCAGAAGATGGAAAAACAGTTTGATGTACCACTCATCCACAACTCTATTACCAAACCAGTACTTTCCTATATCCTTCCTGAATCTGAATTTTTCCAACTTAAAACCATTGCTGTGAGTCCTGTCTAGGCTAGATATTTTCAGCACACTATTTACATCCCCTTTATTTATTCCTGTCTTCCATTTATACACCTCAATCATATCCCCCCTAATTCTACGTCTTTCTAGAGAGTGCAGATTCAGGGCCCTTAGTCTATCCTCATAGGGAAGGTTTCTGATACATGGGATCAACTTTGTCATCCTCCTTTGTACATTTTCCAGAGAATTTATATCCATTCTGTAATAAGGTGACCAAAACTGTGCAGCATAATCTAAATGAGGCCTAACCAAGGATGTATAGAGTTGAAGAACAACCTGAGGACTCCTATTATTTATGCTTCTTGATATGAAGCCAAGGATTCTATTAGCTTTATTGCGAACACTTATGCACTGTTGTCTTGGTTTCAGATTACTGCTAACCAGAACTCCTAAATCTTTTTCGCAATCCGTAATATTAAGATCTACATTATTTAGTTTATATGTGGCATGGTTATTGTCCTGTCCAACATTTAGAACTTTGCATTTGTCTATATTAAACTGCATCTGCCACTTCTCCGACCACTGCATCAGTCTATTCAAATCTTCCTGGAGTGCCCGAATGTCCTCGTCAGAATGAATTCGACGGCCTATTTTGGTGTCATCGGCAAACTTGCCGATGTCGCTCTTTATGCCCTCATCTATGTCGTTTATGTAGATTGTGAACAGCAGGGGGCCCAACACTGACCCCTGTGGAACACCGCTCGTGACACTTCCCCACTCTGATTTCTCCCCATTTATGCAAACTCTCTGCTGCCTATTTGTCAACCATGCCTCTATCCAGGAAAAAATTTCTCCTCCTATTCCATGTGCTTTAATTTTCCTCAATAGTCTCTGATGTGGGACCCTGTCAAAAGCCTTACTGAAGTCCATATACACAATATCATGGTAATGAATATGATATTGTGTATATGGACTTCAGTAAGGCTTTTGACAGGGTCCCACATCAGAGACTATTGAGGAAAATTAAAGCACATGGAATAGGAGGAGAAATTTTTTCCTGGATAGAGGCATGGTTGACAAATAGGCAGCAGAGAGTTTGCATAAATGGGGAGAAATCAGAGTGGGGAAGTGTCACGAGCGGTGTTCCACAGGGGTCAGTGTTGGGCCCCCTGCTGTTCACAATCTACATAAACGACATAGATGAGGGCATAAAGAGCGACATCGGCAAGTTTGCCGATGACACCAAAATAGGCCGTCGAATTCATTCTGACGAGGACATTCGAGCACTCCAGGAAGATTTGAATAGACTGATGCAGTGGTCGGAGAAGTGGCAGATGCAGTTTAATATAGACAAATGCAAAGTTCTAAATGTTGGACAGGACAATAACCATGCCACATATAAACTAAATAATGTAGATCTTAATATTACGGATTGCGAAAAAGATTTAGGAGTTCTGGTTAGCAGTAATCTGAAACCAAGACAACAGTGCATAAGTGTTCGCAATAAAGCTAATAGAATCCTTGGCTTCATATCAAGAAGCATAAATAATAGGAGTCCTCAGGTTGTTCTTCAACTCTATACATCCTTGGTTAGGCCTCATTTAGATTATGCTGCACAGTTTTGGTCACCTTATTACAGAATGGATATAAATTCTCTGGAAAATGTACAAAGGAGGATGACAAAGTTGATCCCATGTATCAGAAACCTTCCCTATGAGGATAGACTAAGGGCCCTGAATCTGCACTCTCTAGAAAGACGTAGAATTAGGGGGATATGATTGAGGTGTATAAATGGAAGACAGGAATAAATAAAGGGGATGTAAATAGTGTGCTGAAAATATCTAGCCTAGACAGGACTCGCAGCAATGGTTTTTAAGTTGGAAAAATTCAGATTCAGGAAGGATATAGGAAAGTACTGGTTTGGTAATAGAGTTGTGGATGAGTGGGAAAAAACTCCCAAGTACCGTTAAAAGAGGCCAGAACGTTGTGTAGCTTTAAAAATAGGTTGGATAAATACATGAGTGGATGTGGGTGGGTGTGAGTTAGACCTGATAGCTTGTGCTACCAGGTTGGTTGCCGTGTTCCTCCCTTAAGTCAATGTGACCTGACCTGACTAGGTTGGGTGCATTGGCTTAAGCCGGTAGGAGACTTGGACCTGCCTCGCATGGGCCAGTAGGCCTTCTGCAGTGTTCCTTCGTTCTTATGTTCTTATGTTCTTATAACTCTTGCGAACACAATCAGCAAACCCAATCTGCATGTCACATTTGTCCACTGAACGCATGTTGAAGGTGTAATCAATCACAGCTGCAGGTTTTAGAATGGGTTCATTGCTCTCTCTATGCTGCCTGCCACTGTCTGCCATTTCATTAGGGTGAACTGATGACAACAGTGTGACATCTCGTTTTGTCATGCCACCGAAATGCCATGATGTCATTGGCAGCAAACGCCTGCACCTCACCTCTACGAGTGCCAGCGTCAAACCTGGGCATATGTTTCCGATTTGCATGCACTGTGCCACACACATCTGTCATGTTCACTCGCAAAAAATCACTGAGTGAGGGGCTTGTGTACCAGTTATCTGTATATAATATATACCCCTTACCAAGGTATGGTTCTATCATTGTTCTAACCACATCACCAGAGATGCCCAATAACTTCCTGGTATTTTGCAATGTATAACTTCCAGTGTACACAATAATATCCAATACCAGACCACTGTAACAATCACAAAGCACAAACAACTTTATACCAAAGCGTTTCCTCTTGCTTGGTATGTACTGCTTGAAAGAGAGTCTTTCTTTGAACAGAATCAAAGACTCGTCAATTACAAGCTTCCTGATGGGATAAAAATGCGTACTGAATTTCTCTTTCAGATACACAAACACATTCCTAATCTTATATAACCTGTCAGTTCTGTCAGGTCTGGTTTTGTCTGAGAAATGAAGCATACGTAACATTAGCACAAATCGATTCACTGGCATTATATCACTGAAACCTGGGGTTGCAATCAGGCGGTCTGTTGACCAGTATGATTTCACTTTGTGCTTATACACATGTGGCATAAGCATTATTGTGGCAAAGAAAAGATACATCTCAGCCACAGTTGCCTCCTTCCACTGGTGTAGACGTGATTTTGGTGAAAGTAATGTGTTTGCCATGGTGTACTCGTAGTATGTGTTGCTTTCCATGACAATACTTTCCATCAGTGGTTCGTCAAAGAATAACTCGAAACATTCCAGTTCAGTGTCATTGTTCCCAAGTGTACAAGATGGCCTTATTCCACTTTGGCTGTCATCAAACTGGTGGGCATTTGGAACAAAATTGACAGCTTCCTGCCAATCCCAGGTGCGGTCTGCTGGTGGGTACTGGACAATGACAGGTGGTTGTGGTTGTGGAGGTTGTGGTTGTGGAGGCTGGTGTGGTGGGTGGGTGGGGGAGGGTGGCCTTTGTTGTAGATCAGCTGAGGCAGCGGCGTGGGTGGCAGCATGGCCCACTGCTGGTGCCTCACCGCCGGCACCACTACCACCACGCACATTTTCCATCCCAATTGCAACAGTATTATCGTCATTTTCCCTCTCTGTTCCTGTTGTACAGCCACGGGATGTACTCCAAGATGCACTCCTTCCCCTTGGAATAGCATATGGCACACTACCAGAGCGCATATATCATTATACTGACGCTTCACTGGGGAATATTGCACTTCACTATCACTACTGGAACTAGTTTGAAGAGCTTGTAGTTCATATTCACTATCATCACCCATGCTCTCATCTGAGTCTGGGATTTGGGAAAATAGAAGTTTCCTCTTTGATTCTGGTACAACTGAACGTGAACAAGACGGCCCAGCACCAGAGGTGGAAGGCTGAGGGTCGTCTGGGTTTTCCTCACTATTACTGACATTATGGTCATTAGTTTCGGTCAAAACCTCACCAAAACCTTGAAACTCATCTTCACTGGCACTTCCATCTGTATTAGAACTGTCACTGGGGAACAAAAGTGTCCCAATTTGCCGAGGAGTGAGGAGCTTCTTACCGCGAGGCATGGTGGACATTGTTTACTAAGATGGCGTTCCCACAATGCACCACTGGGTCCCAGATTTTTTTTCTACCGTGCACACCAACCACACAGACCCATTCTTTCACATGTAGGCCTATCAGCCTTTTCCCGCGAGATTTGACGGCGCTAGAATTTGTGCGTACTAGTACGTCAAAAACCCCTGCGCGTAAGACGTACTAGTACATCCGAAACCCTCAAAGGGTTAAGACTACAAATATTTTAAGGTAAATAATGCGTCTACTGTATATGCATTTTATCACTCTAGGGCGCTTTAAGCGTTGTAGTATATTATGTGTGGGTGAGGTGGCCAGGAGGGCTACCACACCTGACTTCTTACAGTAAATACTACTCACCTTTTGCCCAACATTAGGACTACAAATACAGTGGACCCCCGGTTAACGATATTTTTTCACTCCAGAAATATGTTCAGGTGCCAGTACTGACCGAATTTGTTCCCATAAGAAATATTGTGAAGTAGATTAGTCCATTTCAGACCCCCAAACATACACGTACATATGCACTTACATAAATACACTTACATAATTGGTCACATTCGGAGGTAATCGTTATCCGGGGGTCCACTGTATTTTGAGGTAAATAATGAGTGTACTTTGTGTATTTTACTTTTTATTGTTTTTTAATGCCTAGTTCTATTGCTAACTTAATATATGTTAGGGTAAACTTGTTATCTGGCATTTATATACATTTATAAGTTGAAAAAATGGTGTTCTGCTTTCCAGCAGTAGCCTGAAACCTAACCTGCCATATAAGTGGGGCCCTACTGTATATTGTGACTTCAGTCAGAGGTCCTCTTCAGTAGACTGAGGTTGAAATATATATCTTTTATTTTTTTTACCGGTTGTTGCATCTAAATGCGTTCTCACCCTTCATTGATCACCGTTTATGACAAATTTGTCAAAACATATACGTTGTCTAATTATTTTTTGCACACTTACAGTATATTGGAAATCATCAATGCATCACGAAGCATCTCGACACCCATTATCACGGCTAAACTGGAAAACGACACTGATCCAGAGAAAGCTCGACAGGTTAAAGGGCGTATCGAGAAGACCTTACTGGGTGAAGTGTGTGAGTACGTGGAGGAAGTCTTCTTACCTGATGACTGTTTCCTGCTGTTAAAACTTGCAATGGACCGCATAAGACTCTTGAAGTTGGAAGTTGATGCTCATTCTATTAAATACTCAATCTGCACTTCAAAACTAAAGGTCAGCTGAAAGGCATTTTTAACTTTTTGTTCTTTAAAAACAATGTTCTTAACTTTTTTACTTTTGGATTTTCACCTTATAAGGAGGATACCTTATTTCTGGTCAAGTGTTGTTAACTCAAGGTGAATTGAAGTTACCTTCTTGCCACTTTGGGTCAAATCTGATTACTTCCCAGTCAGTACCCTGACAACATGTGACCCTTTTGGGTTTATGATTCGTAGTATCAAGGCACTTTCCTTGAGGGATGATGAGTATATTAACTCATTCATTGTGTCCAACATACTAGTACACAGGGGATGAGGTCTCAAATTTGCCACACACTTCCATTTTAGGCCTCAGCATTGCATCCCATGGTAGCCTGTAGGAGGCTCATAGCTAGGTGCTAGGATGAGTCAGAATTTGGCTACATATGGATGATGCTAGGAGTCATTCTAGCTAAGGGATGACACACTTTTTCATAGAAAATATTCAGGCCGCATAGGTATGCATGGGGCATTGTGGTTAATATCAACCAGTAAATATAGGCTCACAATGGCCAGCCTACACACCAACCTTTTCTTATGTGAAATACAGGAAATATTGTGGTATGCAAACACCAGTGACATTGAGGAGGGTGATAATGGAGGCTTTTTTTTTTTTTTTTTTTCATGGAGACCACAATTGTAGTACAACTAGGAATGAAAGAAATGCCAGTCGAACAAGATTTATATCTTGTTCAGCTGGCGCTTCTTTAGTAATGCCCACCACAGGTCTTGTTACACAACAAAGATGAAGATTGAGACACTTATGCAACATATGGGAATCTTTACTGAGGAAACATTTTGCCACACAGTGGCTTCATCAGTCCAGTACAAAGCAGAAAGGTGTAAGGAGAGGAGTTTGAGGTAATCAGTCCCTCAGCCTGGAGTCGATATGTTTAGTCCATCAAGATTGATGGACTGAACACATTGACTCCAGGCTGAGGGACTGATTACCTCAAACTCCTCCTCTCCTTACACCTTTCTGCTTTGTATTGGACTGATGAAGCCACTGTGTTGCAAAACGTTTCCTCAGTAAAGATTCCCATATGTTGCATAAGTGTCTCAATCTTCAACTTGCTTTTTTTTTTTAAACCATATATCACACAAAGACATCGAAGATTCTCCACCCTGGAAACTGATAATGCTTGGAGTGATGCAAGTAATGACAGTGGAGACGAGTATATGTATGAGGAAGACAGTGCCAGAACAAGTGATAGTGATGCATTATATTTACCCATCAAACAAACATAGTGATATGTTGTACTGAGTCTGGTTCTGAGGTGTTGTACTGGGTCCGTTTCTGAGGTGTTGTACTGGGTCTGGTTCTGAGGTATTGTACTGGGTCTGGTTCTGAGATGTTGTACTGGGTTTGGTTCTGAGGTGTTGCACTGGGTCTGGTTCTGAAGTGTTGTACTGGGTCTGGGTCTCGGTCGTGTGCTGTTGCATTGTTTTACGGTAAAACAACTAGAGGAACTATCACGTGCTTTTAACATACTATGAAGAGGGAGCATAGACACAGGGGTCTTCCCACAGCTCCTCAAAACAACAGACATAGCCCTACTCCACAAAGGGGGCAGTAAAGCAATAGCAAACAACTACAGAATGATAGGGTTAGTGTCCCATATCATAAAAATCTTTGAAAGAGTTCTAAGAAGCAAGATCACCACCCATCTAGATACCCATCAGTTACACAACCCAGGGCAGCATGGGTTTAGAGCAGGTCGCTCCTGTCTGTCCCAACTACTGGACCACTATAACAAGGTCCTTGACGCTCTAGAAGACAAACAGAATGCAGATGTAATATACACAGACTTTGCAAAAGCCTTTGACAAGTGTGACCGTGGTGTAATAGCGCACAAAGTGTGTGATAAAGGAATAACAGGAAAAATTGGTAGATGGATCTATAATTTCCTGACAAATAGAATACAAAGAGTAGTAGTCAACAGAGTAAAGTCTGAGGTGGCTACAGTGAAAAGCTCTGTTCCACAAGGCACAGTACTCGCTCCCATCTTGTTCCTCATCCGCATATCGGACACAGACAGGGATATAAGCCACAGCGCCATGTCGTCCTTTGCAGATGACTCTTGAATTTGCATGACAGTGTCCTCCATTGAAGACACTGCAAGACTACAGGTGGACATCAACCAGATCTTTAAATGGGCCACACAAAATAATATGAAGTTCAATGATGACAGATTTCAATTACTCCGATATGGAAAACGTTAGAAAATTAAAATTTCATCAGAGTATAAAACAAATTCCAACCACACAAAAGAATGAAAAACTAATCTCAAAGACCTGAGAGTGTCGTGTTAAAAGATCTCGCCTTCAAAGACCATGGCATTGTATCCCTCGCATCCGCTAGAAAAATGATGGTATGTATAATGAGAACCTTCAAAACCAAGTATTCCCAGCCCATGATGACACTATTCAGGTTGCTTGTTCTATCTAGGCTGGACTTTCAAAGCAGGTGAAATTGCTGACCTAGAAAATGTACAGAGAACCTTCATGGCACACATAAATGTGATAAATGTGGTATACTGTGTAGTGAGCCTTCAGCACCTCTGGTACTTTGTATACTGTGTAGTGAGTCTCCAGCACCTCTGGTGCTTCGTATTTTCTGGAGTGAGCCTCCAGCACCTCTGGTGGTTGGTATACTGTGTAGTGAGTCTCCAGCAACTCTGTTGCTTGGTATACTGTAGAGTGAGCCTCCAGCACCTCTGGGGCATGGTATACTGTGGAGTGAGTCTCCAGCACCTCTGGTGCTTTGTATACTGTGGAATGAATCTCCAGCACCTCTGGTGCTTGGTATACTGTGTAGTGAGCCTACAGCACCTCTGGTGCTTGGTATACTGTGTAACGAGCCTCCAGCACCTCTGGTGCTTGGTATACTGTGTAGTGAGTCTCCAGCATGTCTAGTACTTGATATACCATGAAGTGAGCCTCCAGCACCTCTGGTGCTTTGTATACTGTGTAGTGAGCCTCCAGCACCTCTTGTGCTTGGTATACTGTGTAGTGAGTCTCCTGCACCTCTGCTACTTTGTATACTCTGTAATGAGCCTCCAGCACCTTTGGTGCTTGGAATACTGTGTAGTGAGTCTCCAGCACCTCTGGTACTTGGTATACTGTGTAGTGAGGCTCCAGCATCTCTGTTGCTTGGTATACTGTGTAGTGAGCCTCCAGCACCTCTGGTACTTTGTATACGGTGTAGTGAGTCTCCAGCACCTCTCGTGCTTGGTATACTGTGTAGTGAACCTCCAGCACCTCTGGTGCTTGGTATACCATTTAGTGAGCCTCCAGCTCCTCTGGTGCTTGGTATTCTGTGTAGTGAGTCTCCAGCACCTCTGGTACTTAAGAACATAAGAACATAAGAAAGGAGGAACTCTGCAGGAGGCCTGCTGGCCCATACTAGGCAGGTCCTTTACAATTCATCCCACTAACAAAACATTTGCCCAACCCAATTTTCAATGCCACCCAAGAAATAAGCTCCGATGTGAAAGTCCCACTCAAATCCAACCCCTCCCACTCATGTACTTATCCAACCTAGATTTGAAACTACCCAAAGTCCCAGCTTCAATAACCCAACTAGGTAGACTGTTCCACTGATCAACTACCCTATTTCCAAACCAATACTTTCCTATGTCCTTTCTAAATCTAAACTTATCTAATTTAAATCCATTACTGTGGGTTCTCTCTTGGAGAGACATCCTCAAGACCTTATTAATATCCCCTTTATTAATACCTATCTTCCACTTATACACTTCGATCAGGTCTCCCCTCATTCTTCGTCTAACAAGTGAATGTAACTTAAGAGTCTTCAATCTTTCTTCATAAGGAAGATTTCTAATGCTATGTATTAATTTAGTCATCCTACGCTGAATGTTTTCTAACGAATTTATGTCCATTTTGTAATACGGAGACCAGAACTGAGCTGCATAATCTAGGTGAGGCCTTACTAATGATGTATAAAGCTGCAGTATGATCTCTGGACTTGTGTTGCTTACACTTCTTGATATAAATCCCAGTAATCTATTTGCCTTATTACGTACGCTTAGGCATTGCTGTCTTGGTTTAAGGTTGCTGCTCACCATAACCCCCAAGTCCTTTTCGCAATCTGTATGACTAAGTTCTACATCGTTTAACTTATAAGTACTAGGGTTATGGGCACTCCCAAGCTTCAGAACCTTGCATTTATCTACATTGAACTGCATCTGCCACTTTTCTGACCAAGAATAGAGTTTGTTTAAATCCTCCTTAAGTTCCATAACATCTACGTTTGAATCAATTATCCTACTTATCTTTGTGTCATCGGTGAATTTGCTCATATCACTAGTAATTCCCTCATCAAGATCGTTGATATATATTATAAACAACAACGGGCCCAAGACTGATCCCTGTGGAACGCCACTTGTTACAGATCCCCACTCGGACTTAACCCCATTTATGGACACTCTCTGCTTCCTGTCAGTGAGCCATGACTCGATCCACGAGAGCACTTTTCCCCCAATGCCATGAGCTGCCACTTTCTTTAGCAGTCTATGGTGCGGAACTCTATCAAAAGCCTTACTAAAATCTAAGTAAATAATATCAAATTCTTTATTGTGGTCAGCAGCCTCAAAAGCTTTACTGAAGAAAGTTAATAAATTAGTTAGACAAGACCGGCCTCTTGTGAATCCATGCTGAGTATCATTAATCAAGCTATGCTTATCGAGATGGCTTCTTATAATCTCAGCTATAATTGACTCTAGTAATTTGCCTACAATTGAGGTCAGGCTTATTGGGCGGTAATTTGACGGTAACGACTTGTCCCCTGTTTTAAAAATAGGAATTACATTAGCCATCTTCCACATATCAGACACTACACCTGTTTGAAGAGATAAATTAAAAATATTAGTTAATGGTTCACAGAGTTCCATTTTGCATTCCTTAAGAACCCTTGAAAAAACCTCATCAGGACCCGGCGACTTATTTTGCTTCAGT